TCTACGTAATAGACTAATTATAAAGCCGCGCGACTATCGAGACGAGGAAAGTGATAAAAAAGGAGCAGTAAATCCGGCTTGCTTATCGCGGTTGCTATCTGTGTGTGTGTGTGTGTGTGTCGTGCACGTTATCCCCCCGGTAAATTAATATTTCTTTGACCTACCCAGAAATCGCGCGCGATAGAAATTAATCTTTACAACTAATCAAACACCTGCAGTTACTGCTGGCAGTTACTACAGCATACTTTTGCTTGAAAGAGTAGTTTGGACTAGACTGAACATAAAATTCTCGTCTCCTGACTTGTCCCAATCACCCAAGTCTTTGCGTATGCACGACGTTTATAATTGTCCAAAAAAAAAAAACATTATCGCGGCAGCATATTAATCGCACTGAATATAAATTACATCTAAATAAGACGCTAACTTTTGCGAATGTATTAGTGATAAATATGTAGACTCGTACACAAGATTTATCTAATTTCTCGAAACTAATTGTTAATGTTTAGACAAATATAAAGATGTTTTTGAGCATCATTGTTCAAACACTGACAATACCTTTTTTTAAATATTATATCGATAAACATATTAAATATTGTTTTAATAGACAATCCTACAGTTTTTGTAAAAAATACTGAGGAATGGTAGCTGCATGCAAGCAACACAATTAAGAAAACTATCGACTACAATCATCGTCATTCTGTGCTCATCAAAGTGCTCATTAAAGATACAACTATCGCGAAGCAACTTGTGCGATTTCACGGACGACATAGCCACGTAGAAGTAATGATGAGTGATCCGTTATTAAAACTCCGTACTCAATGCCTTGAAATGCAAGCTCGTAAAGGCACTTTACAACCCTATATACTCGCCATAATCACCCCTCCACGATGTCACGTCTGCGAGTACCGACTTTTCATATCATCAGGTGCCACGCCACTTTTCCATTACCACCACGTCATACGAGGATGTGCCCGTGTTAATCTTGACCCGATGATTAACCCTGCGCGCACGCACACGTTGTAAATCACTTAACGTGCGTTTATGATCAGTCTCGATAGTAGACTCTACGATCTCAAATGCAAAATTCATTTTTTTAGTTTTCTTTTTAAGATTTAATTTAGAAACGATACAAGTTAAATCTGTATTCATAACAGTAGTCAGGAGAATTTTACGCAAACAAAGATACAATGAAGAAAAGAGTTACGAGCATACTGATTACGCGAATGGCGTCTTATCTTCTGACCGCGTGTCTTCGTGTCCTCGTTAAAAATTACAATCCCGTTGTGACATTATCTCAGTGGAAAATTGTGGACGCAGGTGAGTGTATATAAGTATCGTCTCTCCGAGAAAGAAGAACGGAGTCGTGCTGTCAATTCAAGTCTAGTGGTTAATCCCGCGTATAGATTTTCGCTTCCTTCAGTCCATTTAATGTTCGTGAACAAACTATTTCATTCAAAAACGAGCAAAATAACGATAACTTTTAAAAACGAACTGGATCGTAAAAGCAAGAGCGAGCTCCTAGGTTTCGGCTTTGGTTATAAGTTCGTATTATATTAGCCGGGTTCACATGGCCAGTCGGCCAATGGGGACGCTCGTAAAACCAGAGTTAACATTCGGTCGGGTTGTCAAGTAAAAGAGTGGCTTGAGTTTCGTTGGGATCACTGTGAACGACGTTATAAGTACGCTCTTTCGCTTATACACACCGTGTCTCGAGGCTTGTATGTTCGAATTAGAGGCGGCGATGACAAACACGATGTGACGCGTGGATTTTTTGGATAGTTTATTAAGGGTAACTATTTCATATCAGTTAACTCATATTAGTTAACTTTAACCAACGATTCAAATTTGTCGAAAATATTACCAACATAAATAAAATATCATCATTAAAGAAGAAAAAAGTTAAAAATTTTCTTCTCCTTCGATAGTGATATTTCATTCTTCATATTAGCAATTCTGTCGACAAGTTTGAAAGTTAAAGTTAACCGACGTTAGAAATAGTCATTCTAAGCGCGGGACGAAGCGATCACGACGCAATTGCTTTTCGCAAAAATTTTTTATACGCGTAATCTTGCTATCTGACTAACAGATATGTTACATTACTTTATGATGTATATCGCTTTATTTATTCACAAACAAAAAAATCTCAACTTGCAAGATTTGATTTCAAAAAGCCGTAAGAGAAAAATAAAGTGAGATAATTGAGTCACCGAATATTAACAGCATAAATTTAGAACTTGGTAAACTTTCATACTTGGACATTATGAAAACTGTTTCTCCGTAAAGGATGGTTCCTCTTTCTTCTTCGTTATATTTTGTATAATGATCACGATATAATGATTTAAAGTATAAAAACGTAAGGATAAGCAATAGCCTCTTTTGCTTGGAATTGCATTGAATGCTAGTCTTTGTTCGGAAACTCCACGACGGAGGAGGTCTCACTATCTCGCCATAATAATTTATTTTATAATTATTTCGCTTTATTGCAACCATAAAGTAGTGGTAGAGACGGAGTGCAGCTGATTACCGCATAAGAGTTCATGAACTTTCGCGATCCATTGTATTTTTGTAGCGGTTGCTTATGGAAGGCAACCGCTGAGTCGTGAATTTCTACTTTTTTCTTAACGTAAAAAAATTCATGAATAAAAAATTCATAAAAAAATTATGGACTATTATTTCTCACAATAAAGTGCTGTAATGATCAAATTCTCGTTATCTGATAAACAGTTAGACGTAAGTATAATTTATATTATTAAATTAAAATGATCAGTTACTTTGCTCACAAACAGTTCCATCACGCTACCAAGTTCTGCCTTGGGATATGATATCAAAAGAAAATACTGATATCTCTCCTATTATCGCAAAAAATAGCGATATCTGCGCTAATAAAAGTTTTTTACACTAGATGTGAATTAACCGTTTATAGCAAGAGAATTAAAACGGTATAGAAAAATGTAGTATAAAAAAATAGTAATTTAAATTAAAGTATATTTGTTGTAACAAAATAATTAAAACTATTAAAATTAAGCACATTTCGCGAATCTTAACTTTCTAATAAGGACTGTTTAAATTTTCTAACACAATTACATCATTGTTTTCAAACCACATAACATTTATCTGGCATTGCAATAATTGTTATATCATTAAACAAGTCTTGCTCATATTTTTTAAACGCACAACACCATTGAATACGCTATTTCTGCATAATACTTAAACGTACGAAAGAGACGACAGAAGGATGAAGAGTGCAACAGGTAGACAATTTCAGTTCTCATTGCATATATACTTACGTATATGCTTATCAACATGCTGATATACTACTAAATAGATAATCAGCATGCATATTAAATAGATACTGCGTACATATGTACATAAACTTAACAAAAAAACTGCTTTTTAAAATGAGAATCTAAGATAACGTATGCGGAAGAAGACAGAAAATCTAAAAAGATATCGGTACTTTTCATCGTATCAGCTTTATAAACGTATCACAAATAAACCGTATCACAAATAAATCGGTTACAAGCGGTTGAAGATTTCACAATATTCGTTTTACACAAAGAACTTAAAAAATTGTTATAAGATTGTTGTAAAGATTGTTGAAAGATTATACTAAATGATTGAAAATAATCATAGATATGAGAAAAATAAACACGCTCGAGAGAAACATAAAACACATGCTTTAGAAAAAAAGTACTCGTCAGAATCATATTGTAAAGTTATAGCTCCTTTGCACAGGAAATTGACTGAGCATTACGTAGACAATCAGATGAGAACAAAATTCATTTCTCATTCAAATTGGCTCATTCAAAACGCAATGAAAGCAGTTGTCTGTAAAATGTTATATCGATCCAACAAATAATCTGGGAACCTAGGCAATGCTTGTCGAGAGACAAGCGTTCGCTACTCTATATGAGAAATAAGTTGTTTATCGTTCGTTCGTCCGATGTCAACGCAACCATTGCAAACCCATGTTCCCCTATCATATTTTTCACTTTATATTATATTATATTGTTTAAGATATTTAAAATCACTAATGTTTACCGGAAAAACATCGAAATAATAGATTTTAGAATTATATGAAAATAGATGTTTAGAAATTTATACAATTTGGAAAGGTCGTATTCCAATGTTGAATATCATGAATTTTATACATAGTTGGCCTACTATAACGATATGAGTGACATAATCTTACAATCGCACTATTGCTCCTGTGTAATGATTACAGTTACCCGGCCGCGCAATCACGTTATAAATGCGAGTCGTCACTTCGCGAGACGCAAAGGTCGCAATACCGGGAAAATAACGCGTTACAGACACTACATATTACTATGTGAAATATTTAAATGCCAGACAAATGATAACTTGCACGTCAAGTTTATATAAGATGTTTATAGGAGAGCGAGAATCCGTGACGATGCAATACGACGAAACAATTTCACAATTACTGTAAAAAATGCTGTCGCTGTGAATAACGGCAACTAATGGTATGATTCGAAAGTAAGCGTAGACAAATCAAGCATTATGATTTAGTTTATAAGATCGCAAATACTAAGTATTCTTGTTTAGTTTAACATTCGTCGCCGTTTCTCAAGTTTTACTTGTATAATTTTAATTCGTGCTACCTATATTAATTGTACAGTAACTATTCCCGCAATATATTCTGAAAATTCTAGCATAAAAATGTAAATCTTACTTTACTTAATTTACTTATAAGTAAAAATCTTACTTATAATTAGGAATAAAACTTATTTCACTTTTTTTTATTATATTATGTATCATTAAGATACGTGCTTGGATATTTGGAACTATGTGTGAGCAGAATTTAAGCAGTTTTTAATACTAAATTAAAACTTGCGATAAGACAAAAAAAAAACACAATTTTACTCAACACACTTATCTTTATGCAATAACCTTTATAAATTTTTATAAAAAAATAAACTAGTTTTTATTTGTCTCATCCAAGTAATACTGAAAGCAAATATAATATGAACATTACTTACATTTCTGCTTCATGATCATATAATTTAACGTTGTATATTTTGTATTGAACTCCAACGGCAAGGGATGTTCCCGCTAAAAAAAAATTAAGAAAAGAATAAATCTTTAGTTATAGCTTGACTGTTCATGACATTCATAAATCACCGGCAGATACACTGGCATGATAGTTCATGACATTTATAAATCGCCAGCAGATACACACGGCGCTTTTATTTAAAATTATGTTTAAATGTCCGCATTATTTCGATACAGCGATAAATTGTTTGGTATTCAGTTTAAAGATGAAGAATATATAATACATTAATAATGTTTGTACAAATCGGCTAAAATGCGCATTGATAAGTTTCTTTATGCATCTGATTGTATATCGATTATGTTAATTATTATCATCGTCGCAATAATTTTAATTGTTAGATGCAAATATACATTTGAATTTTGTAATGTTGAATTCGCGCATTTACGCATTATAAATATAAATTCTATTAAATCGATTAAAATTTTTTCATAAAAATAAACATCAAAAAATCTATTGAATCTACAAGGTGCTTTCTAAAAATGTTACTTTTGAAGAAGTTTAATGATATCGATAAATGACAATTTTACACACGTATTTAGTTTTTTTCTATGAGTACTGAACGGTTTTTTTATACAGCCGCAACAATTACGAGATTAGAAGTCCGCGATTTGATAAACAGAAAAAAGACTCACCTCATTTGTGTTTGTATTTTTCTCTTTTTTCTTTTTCTCTTCTCTATCTTTATCCTGTTTCTGAGCTCTTGATATTTTAATTTCTGCAGCTGATAGTTCTCGTTTCTTCAACGTCACGAAGCATTTCTCGCATGCGCAATCTCGTTTTAGGCAGAACCTTTTGTGGCCTTTAAGCAAAGCAAATATTCCGTGATTATCGCATAGCTTACACTTCGGATGTCTAGACTGGATCGATTGATCGCCTTTTTTGACCGAAGACGTGTGCAATTCTTTCTTAACTACATTCAATTGCCTTTTCGACTCCTTGTTACTCATGATACTTATAAAATTCTATGCTATCGATGAAGGAAAAGTGTTGATCTTCTGTTTTCTTCTCACAACTCGAAATAGTGACCGTGATTAGATTTCGACATTGATGTCGAGGAAACTGATTCGGACGGGCGATTGATATTGCCCAGAAGCGAAAAAAGAAACGACGATTATATCATCACTCTGCACGTAAAGCGATTGCGGTCGGTAAAACAAATGTTGTTGTCCGGATGTCTTCAGGATTTTATTTACTGAAACACATGATAAAGTTTTGATTAATTAGACGATGAAAATAAATAAAACTTTAAAAATATTAAAACTATAGCAATATGATAAATAGTTGAAAAACTGCAATATATTGGCAAAAGTCAGAATTAAAATTGTAAAATACACCGAGGTAAAAGTAAAACCTATAATATTTACACTAAGCTTTTATATATACTTTTCCTGTTCGCTAATTTTGAAATAACATTAGCTAGAAATAAATCATACTATTACAAAGATATGATAATATAAAAAAATCAACAAATATCGAAATAATAGATGTAAGCTTATAGATATAGCCTGAGCTTATAGATAAATTTATAAACTTAGGAGTTTTTTTCTTTTCGAGTTTAATGCGCAATTTTGTTAAAACGTTCAATATTTAAAAAAAAGTGAACGCTGCAAAACTCACAAAAGTCTAGATTATTTTTATGCAAAATGTTAGCCATACTTTCCAGTTAAGTATAGCTTATACTGCTTCGATGATCAATACGCAATGCATCCTCAAAGCGTACCTCACCTATGTAGATTATTCATGATCGATCAATACAAAGTAACTTTTGCAGCTCGTCCTGTCGCAGTGATTGAAATTGTCATCGGATTGAAAGAAGTAATATATATGCTGCCATATTATAAACGCCATTAGGGGAATAAACAACGCTTATATTTAATATATAACATATGATAATTTTTTCTTAAAAACAAAAAAACAAAAAAGAAGAAAGAAAAAACCTGACAAAAATTAAATTTTTAATCGACTGTATTAATGTGATTATTTGCGTATACGATTTGCATCTATTTTTTAAATTGAATTGTCACAAAGTAAATTGCAAAAAAAAATTAACAACATTTAGTGAAACTCCAATTTAACATTGGATGATGTTGAATAGCTTTTTGCAATGTCATAAGTTTTTAAGTAGCACGATTAAGTAGCACGATTAAGTATAAATATGGAGGTCAACCATATCTCTACTATTATCGCATGCATTTTTATGCATTCTGCAAGCAATGCCAATATCATCGTAAGCAACATAGCATATTTGAATAAAATCATTATATGTTGTCCATCTATAAACTAAAGTAAACAAAATATTGATTCAATAATATTTTTCTATTTTTTTAGCGAGATAACAATTTCACAGGACATTTCTCTTTTAATACATGCATTAGTTTTATAAATCAAGAGTTGATAGTTTTAAACGCGGAATAACTGACTGGTGAATAAAAGATCAAAGTGCTTTGAAAATAATTATAATAAATCTGATAAAATTATCCAGTTATCCAATTTGTTACTACGCTACATTGATATCAAAAACAAAATTCACAAAAGGTATATTGCATTTGTTATAAAACAAATACAACAATAAAGTTTCACAAGATCTATTACTAGTCACTACTCGTGTATCTAAGTCAAGATAAGAGATATCCGAGCCTGAAATGGATAATGGATAAACTACATCTACAAAAATTATGATAAATTCTGACATGGCTAAAGCCACTGTGAAGGACACGGGAGTCACGACCTCGCGAAGGTAAAGATACGTTTCTCCGCTGTAGATGGCCATGGCGGGTGAGATGAGGTAAGGTAAAATATACACCATACAACGCATCAAATTCTACCTCATTAAACACTCGTGGCTTGTCTAAGAACGAAGAATCACAAATTATATAGAGAGAAGAACGAATGGTAGATGGCTAGATGCGAATGGTAGATGCATGATGAAATTCATAGATTTTGAATTTTGCGGTGTTTTGAACGATTACCATTTGTCCTTTGTAAATCATGACAAATGTTTAAAAAAAATATTGTTAAAAAAAACAAACGTATTTTAGCGTCAAAACAACACAGTAAAGTGTAAATAAAAAGACATAAATTCCAGTAAAATTTAATAATTGAGATAGAAATAAATTTTACAAATGACTTGTTTATATAAAAGAAATTATAATACGAAAAAAAAAAAAAGAAAAATTATAAAGACGGCTAATTTAGATAAAGGTAACTTTAAATCGCCTACATTAATTAATACGCCTACATAAGAGCGAGAGAAGATATCTGTCGCCGGAAATTGTATGCTAATGTGTTCGTCTGCGAGTACGATCATGGATATTGCAAAATGCATCTGTTTAAGTAAAATCGCAATGCGCGGCCAATTATCATGATTTTTCCACAAGCTCGAGAAGTGCTTGTTACTTGGAATTCTCAACTATAATTACTGAAATGAAGGAACAATGTGAATCATAAAGCACAACGCCGTGGTTAAATATAAAAAAATCAGACAACCTGAAGCAAACAGAATTAAACTGAGGTTTACTGTATTACAACGTCAACGTAATTGCTATATTGTAAAATTAAGAAAATTTTAATTAAAAAATGTCGATGTTACACACGTAAATGTGTTGGTTCCTAATACATAATAACATAATTGATAAGAAATTTGTAGTCGTTTATAATACAATTAAGTGTATGTAAAAAAAATGTGATGCAATTGTAACCAAATAATATAATAAAAAACATAACTCAATCTTTATCATTATTAATTTTATCATTTGTACTATTGTGAAATTCTTATCTTGTATGTACATTAGAAATATATCTCAATTTGGAAAAAAGATTATAAAACACTAATAGTCAACAATTTATTTACAGTGTAGTGTATATGTGTATTTAGATCACATCCTTGAAGTAGGTGCATCTCAGACTTTCAAGAATAATGTTATCCTTCGACAAATCTCATATTTAAAAATGCGATATCAATGAGTTAGGTAAAAATACACATTATCGTGAAAAAAAGATATCGTATCATTGGTATTAAATGTTTTAAATTCGTAGCAAGTATTAGCACTCTTTATTCAAAAATAGCCTACTGAAATACAGATTATACTGGATAAAGTTACTTTTATTCTGAATATTTCACAATAGAAACATTTCCATTTTATGCTATAAATTATGTTTTTTATTTTTATAATATATACCATAATTATATATTAAAATTATAAAAATTTATTGAAAATACACTATTAAATTCAATGTCTTATTAATTGCATATCTAAACTGGATTTATTTAATTTAAATTAAAGTATTTTAAAAGTATTTTAAATTAAAATGAAGAAAGAGGAGAGAGAGAGAGATTCTTTTTCAAAATTATCGTTTCTACTATCTTTTGAATTAATTTTGGGGATTTTTAGATATTTAGAACAGAAAATACTTCCTATTTATAGGACTATTTAGAGACACAGGATGATTCAACTCTGGTTAGAATATAAATGAATATCGTTAACTTTCTTCGCACTGTGTGTTCATGATATATCCAATTATGTCGTTAAAAATGATTAGAACTGTGCTTGTTAAACTAAAAATAGTCATTGCAGTTACGCATGATATTGAAGGAATTGATAACCGATTAATAATGTACAGAGTCGATAAATGTTCCTTGCGATATAACATTGAACTAATCGGTTGTTATCGCGCCGACATATAAACAAACGTTTCTTTGCAATTCTCTGAATAGATTTTAACGTACTATTTCGCGAGAACATATTCCTTGCACGTAAATAATTTTTATTTAAATACGTAATTTTATTTGTATTTAAATACAAAAACATTTATGGAAATAATTGTAAAATCCAACAATATAAACGTAACAAGATAGTTAACAATAATGCAAATCTTTTACAGCATAAATCACATTGATTATTACTTCCCTCCGCAGTAATAATGGCTGCTGAGGTTAAAATCCAAATATCACTTGCAAAGTCACATAATTCACGATGACTCAGCGAATCGTTTATTCATAAATAAATACATTTCAATCCATTCGAAAAAAATCATTCCAGAATAGAGCTGTATCTTGCCATCGAAAAAGATGTTTCCGAATCTATAATGATAGTAATATAATGAATATACATTCACATAATTAATTACACAATTATTTAATCTTATTTTATAGCTTTTTTTATAAATAAAAAAAAGCATCTCTCTCGATATATTTTGTGATATTTATTTATCCTTTTTTGATTAATGTTACTTTTTGACTGTTGCTAAAGATTTGTGACAATCGCGATCAATTTAAAGTTATATATCGCAAAAAAAAACGCACGTTATTGTGAAAAATTATCGGATCAATTAATATCAAATATATATATATATTGTGAAAAATTATCGGATCAATTAATATCAAATATATATATATATTTGATATTAATCGATAATTTTTCACAATAACGTGCGTTTTTTTTTCTGCCAAACACATTCGAATAACATTTCTAATTTTGACAATATATTTATATATTATTTATAGATACTTTATACCTCTCTTTTGATAAGTATTTTGTTTGCGATATATAACTTTAAATTGATCGCGATTGTCACAAATCTTTAGCAACAGTCAAAAAGTAACATTATATATATATATTTCAAATTTAAAAACACAAATAACACAACTATTAAAATATAGATATCGATCATTGAAAAATAGTGAGTGTAGATTCTGTGTCAATTGTGCATAATAAATTCGCACTATGCTCGTGAAAGTCGAAATAAATCACGCGTATGTTGTGTCTAAATGCTATCGCGAAATCGTCACGAACGTGATCTCCACGAATAGATTTTGATAGCGGGAAACTGTATCGTGTCGTGCTAAGCGGATACATCTCCGTCTGTGATTACATTGTATCCCATTCACATGACTTTTTATTTGACAATTTCCTGGCACATTGGTGCAAAGACAAATGCCATCAGATGCGATGCACATTCGTTCATAAAAAAATTTGGACGACAAATATAGTTTTTTTGTATATGTAACTTCAATAATTTTGCATGTATTATTTTCATTCCTATCATTGTTATGTTAATTTTCTTTTTAATTATTGTGTATAACCGAAACGAAACATACTGAAGTAAAAAAACAACGTTTTAAAAAAATAACTCACACACAAACGTACATTTAAAACGAAATCATTGAAACTATACTAAAAATAAATATTTTGA